AGTTACCAAATCAAAAAAAAAAAAATATATATATATATATATAGTCTCCCCCAATATACTCACCACACACACCACTGAGAATCTTCTTCTTGAAATTCTCTTCTCTGCTCTTGGAGTCTATGACAGTATCTTCTTTTGAATTTCCTCTAAGGTCCCTGATTGCTCCTTTGACAAGAACCTTCTTGAAAGATTTTCTAGATTACCTTTCTTTCTGTGTTGTCATTTTCTTTTCTTCTATGTTTATTCTCAATTTACAAATTTACAAATAAATCATAGAAATTATACACAAACGCACACACACACACACACACACACACACATATATATATTTATGCAGACACATTGTTTTAATATATGTGAACAATGTGGAATACACTTCTTTTATGTCTCTGTGGAATCCCCATCGACCCAACTGCTCACCAGAGACCTGAATTAACTCTCCTCATCTTTACTACTCTATATTGCAGAGACCTACTGATTGTATCCTCTTCTCTAATCTATCACATCTTCTCCATTTCCACAATTTTGCCTTGTTTGCTCCTATCATTCTGCATCTGGATGACAACACCCGTTTCCCAAACCCTTAGACCATAGTGAATGTTCAACAACTTTGTTGGAGAAATGGTTACAAATTCATGATTCTTCTCCCCACCACTGCCACCCAGAGACTCACCAAACTTGCTCCAGGAATCTTCCTAAAAGTCACAAGTTGTTCATGTCACGTCTCCCCCTACTTCAAATCCTTCCACTGCCTTCAGGATCGGTTTTAAGTTTTAGTCATCTTAGCATGGCACACAATAAACTTTTTGCCCCTCCCTAGCCCCGTGTGCCAACATGTCCCCTGTGAACTGTCCCTGCCTCCACATAAAATGACTCACAGTTCCACTAACCTTTAAGGCCCAGCTCACCTCACTTTTTCATTAGGGTACAACTAACATTCAGTAATGTGCAGATGCTAAATACATGAACTCATGGATTTTCACAAGTGTACATACTCATGTAGCCATCGACTCAATATCTGGAACATTTCTATCATTGCAAGACGTTCCCCGTCCTTACCAGACAATCCCTCCACCTTCATAAGAAGAAAAACACAGTTGCAACTTCTGTCACCATATATTTCTTTGCCTGTGTATCTGGCTTCTTTTTCTCAACACACCTGTGAAATTCATTCATATCGTTGTATGTACCAAGCGTTCATTCCTTTATATTACTGGCTAGCATTCCACCTTTAAATATACAATGTGTTTATGCATTGGTGGGCAATTGAATTGCTCCCAGCTTAGGGAAATGATAAATATAATTAAAATAAGCATTCTTATACAATAATCTTATAATTGTATTTTTCTTTTGCATAAATACCTAGAAGGGAATTACTAGGGGTAATGTAATAAGAAACTATTATTTTCTAACCATGTGTTCATGTACTTGACAACATTTGTTGTCAATTTTTATTTTTTTAGGCATTTAGTGTATGTTAACTGGTGTTTCATTGTAGATCTCTAAGTTTCATTTTATTTTCAATTAATAATGTTGGCCCCCTCTTCAATGAATTTAGGAGTCATTATATATCCTCTCTTAGGAAATAACCCATTCATGTTTCTGCCCATTTAAAAAATTGGGATCTCTTCTTATGATGCTTTTGTAGCAGTTCTTTGTGTATTCTACATACAAATTCTTCCCTTTTGTAGGCTCTCTCTTCACCTTCTTGATTGTTTCCTCTGCTGTGAAAAAGCTTTTTAGTTTGATACCATACCACTTATTGATTCTTGATTTTACTTCTTCACAGGTGAATACCTTTTTCCAATATTTCCAATATTTCTGCTCCAGGAAAATTGTATTATCATCTGTCTTTATGCCTTTTTATTTTGATGTGTTAGATTCTCTACCTGGCAGAAACTGTCTCCCTGTCATTGGGGGTAGGTTGACACTGTAGGACATGGTACTCACTGACATTCTTGCTACTTTCTCCACCACAACCACAGGACCAATCTGAGACTAGGGCTGTATTGTATTTAGTGTTTGTATCTYGTAGAATGTCTACCAAATAGCAGTGCTCAATGGTTGCTGCCCAAATACATAAATGAATTGCTGAAACCTGGAAGGGTTGACTAAATGTCATGGATTAACTGCTTTGTATGTCCTTTTCTCTACCTGAAAATGAGGTTAACTTCCCACTTATACACAATGAAAAGTTTTCTTGCTTATTTGTTTTTTGTGTTTGTTTTATACAAGTGATTGAACCCAAGGTGCTTAGGCATTCAGACACATCTCCAGCCCTTTTTATATTATGTTTTAAATTTTGAGACAGGATCTCACTAGGTTGCYGACAACCTTGCTAAGTTGCTGAGGCTGGCTTTGGACCTGCAATCCTCCTGCCTCAGCCTCCTGAGTCTCTGGATTACAGGAGCGTGCCACCACATCTAGTGCAAGGAGTTTTTGAAACCATGAAAACAGGGTTTTTCTTTTCTCCTTCAAGTGTTTACAAATAAGAATGCTATGAATATCTATAGTACCCCTCAAAATAGCTTGGTTGACGGGGTTTTTGGCTTTATATTGGGCATAATATTTTTTTAACTTTAAAATAGTGAATATGCATTCAATAGAAACTATACTTTGCATTTTGAATTTTTATCTTTTCCTGGGCTAGGGATGATGCAACACTGGAGTAAACAACTGGTACCCTACAATGGACTGTGCGGCTAAGGTAAGATGCTTGATAGGTTAGATGTGCTAAAAATATTTTTGGTGGGGTGAGCTGGGGATCAAACCCAGGACCTCATGCATACTAGGCAAGTGCTCTACCACTGAAATACACCCTTAGTTCTTAACTGCATTTTTGACTTAACAATATTTTCAACTTTCTGGTGGTTTTCTCAGAATGTTACCCCCTTATAAGTTGAAGAGCATCTGGATACACTTTTCACACACTTTGTTATTGTTTCATGAATCCTGATTTTCATTTCAAAAGCAATATATATGATCCTTAATAATTTAGATACTTCTCAAAAATATCCTGCAAGAAAAAAAAATCCTATGATTAGATAGGACTTGCAACACAAGAGATTGTCATTTGACTTTGTCAGGTAAAGTGATCAGGTTTTTATTTTAATGAATCTCTCTGATGTTTAAAATCACACAGACTACATGAAAAATGACAATGCCATCGTTAGGCATGTCCAAGAAATGAGACCTTGATGAATTCCATAGAGAAGTCTGACCAGATAATGGAAGCTGAAAAGTCATAATACTATTCTGACAGGAAGGTGCAGGTTAAAAAAAAAAATGAAAAGCACCAACAATTCATGAAAATGATGGGCTAATTGAGGAAGCAAAGTGCAATCTTCTCCTCTCTGCAGGAAACCACAGAGTGGAGAAGCCCTTGCTCAGCAGACAATGAGACACAATCAAAGGACATTCAGCATGTTATAAATGAAGCATTTGAGAGTGGAATGACTTTCTCTATACCAACAAAGCCTCAGAAAATCCAGAATTTTATTGGTGAGATTCTTGCATTGCAAGAACAATGCAGCATGGATCCTCACCCTGAAATGATTAAAAGTAACTGAAGTAAGTTTGAGGTTTAAGTTAAATTGATAAATATTTATATAGAGTATAAAAAATGTAGTCACATGTGTAAAGAGCTATACTGTTCCATTTCAAATATGAAAAGCATGTAATTTAGAAACTAATTGAAACCGAATTTGTAAGTATTTGCTACACCTCAGACTTGCTTAATAAGAATGTATCCATTATCTAATATCCAATTTTTGCTCCTGGTAGAACTGGTTCTGTTAGGAGGGTCATGAAAGGATCTCAACCCTTTTCCTTAGTCAAGTCTTGCTTTCAGCTATGAGCAGGAGTACAAGATAATCTTTCTTAAATGACCCAAATTTCTAGATCCTTTTGAGAATTTGGTTATGACTGAAATTCAATGCACAGGAAGTTATAATGCTGGTTGCAAAGAATTTAAGCTGAAAATGGAAACCATGTCTCACCTTAAATACACTGTATGTCTAGAACAATTCCTGGTTGGATAATCAGTGAGTGATATAATGGGAGGTCTTAAGAGAAGAGGAAGATTAATAGGACAGTTGCAATTGGAAGGCTATATTGAAGAAATTAAAGAAACAGACCAGATAATTGAATGAACACTCTAGGATTCATCTAGCTATTGAACAAAGAGAGAAATTTATTCACAGAGTTTTTCAAATACAAACAAAATAGCACTTTTTAATTGTTTTTTTTTTTTTTACAAAATGAATATTGAAATAAATGTGGTACAGCACAGTACAATAATGGACRAAAGAAAACAAGATCTAATGATTGGAAAATGTCTCTCATGACTCTCATCTCCTCAACGGAAGTCTCTCCTACAGTGGACAGAAATTTGCCCCCTTGACTTCATAAAAATATCATATCAGAAGCTACTCAGAGAAATATTGCATACCTTTGAATAATATTGAAATATGAAGGCTTAACTCTAAAAGTCTGCATAAACACTGAGAACATGTGGAGTGGCTAAAGAGTTTATGCAGGATATACAAAATACTGATACAGTGGCATATTGGTCCATTTATTAGGTTAAATGTATGTTTTATAAAGGGATAATACTGTGTTTTCAATGGATAGTAAAAAGAAAACAGAGGAGTAATGCACTAGGGAACCCCTCCCCCACAGTCTGTGTGATGATTTACGTGTGTTGCGTGTGGCATGTGTGGATGTGTATCTGCGTGTGTGCTCGTGTGCTTTCAGGAGTGGCATTACCTACAGGGAACGTTTGTGGGGTACCCTGCTTCCCACATAATACTGTTTCTACTAGCCCTTTTGATTCTCCCAAGTCCTCGCCATTAAAAAAAAAAAAGCAACCAAAATTCTTGTTTGCATATATAGATTTGCTTTGCATGTGTATGCGATATATGCTGACAATATTGTGTGGAATAGAAACACCCGATACCCTGCAACTCTTAGCCTTTGTTTGGTCCATTTTTTTTCTTTCCTCCATCATTCTCCATTTCTGTCACCAGCCTCCCACCACCCTCCCTTCATGTATAATGTTCCTTGTTCCATCGGGTTTCCCTTCATTAGCACGGTATTGAATCAGAACCACTATTCCACCTTTTAGAAGTAGCCAGAAGTTTTGGCCCCTTCCAGCCCCTGTGGCCTGTCTTCTCTTCGGCTTCTCCTGATGGCTCCGCCTCAGTATGGGTAGTGCTTCTGTTTCTTGCCCGAGAAGCAAGCCAGCCATGTGCACAGCAGCATGGCGGCAGCGGCACCTGCTCCCGTGCAGTAGTAGGCCCAGCCGATCTCACACTTCCCTAGGGACAACGAAGGGAGAGAGAGCAAGAACAGATGAAGAAGGCTTTGAAGGAGGTTTTGTCTGTTCCGACGTGTGTGCTCTGAAAGAACCTGGTGTTCTCACTCAAATGGAGCGATACTACGCTGAAAGCTATCTTGAGAGTAAGTTGGTTGTATGCAGTTCAGAAGGCTCCCAGGGTCTGTGACTCAGGCCAGCCAAGAGGACAAAAGCCTGTTCCCTTCACCAATGCCCACAGCCCTGGCTGAAAGAACAAGGAATGGTGACACCCGAGAAGTTAGAAGGAGTCGATTCTAATTTGACACCTTTAACCCAAACTCACATGCATAATAAGGCATTTTAGAAGAAGAATTCAAGATACAGGTACCATCTTTCTGCAAACAGGCCACTTTAAGGAAGAGAACCATTTGAAGGGCAAAACTAAAATGAATCCTGTATTTACATGACATTGTTGAATGATCACCCTCTTATTATCCGAATTATAGAACAAAACTCCCTGATTCTCCCAGGGTCAAGGCCTTTAAAGTGTCCTTCGAATGAAAACAATGACAAGAGCCAAATGGCTCCCTCTGTCTCAGTTGGTTGATTATTAATAATAATAACACACCCATGATTCTAAAAACAGAAAGATTTTTTTTTTTCACATATGGTCTTTGTTGGTTTCTTCTAACAACACTGTGAGGTGAAATGCTGTTGAGAAGCAAGCTAGGATTTAGAAAAGTTAGTGGTTAACCCAAAATCATATGCTTACAATTGTTAGTAAACTGAACCAGGATATAAACCTGAGTTCCAGATTCCAAGAATAAAAAGTCATTTATTGAAAATTTCTTTTCTGAGTTCATGAAAGTGATTTCTGCACTTGTGAACTTTTTTTTAATAGTACATTTTTCTACATTATTCTTTTTTGTGTGCAGAGTGAAGAAGACCTCTGTATGTTACATTAGACTCTGTCCTTTCTGCTCTAATTCTTACTCCTCTTTCCTCAGGTCTGACCATGTTATCAGACAATGTTCCAACAGCAACCGTTTTCCTCTCTTTTGTTCTTGCTTACACATCACCTTAGAAACAACCACAAACAGCGGAGACACTTGGATTTCAATTGCATCAACTATAGGCTGAAAACCATGTCCCTTTTTGCATAAGTCATTCTTGCCTTGTTCATTTGTGATAAAAGTAATAACTTCTCTATTGAGAAATGCAAAGACTGTTAGATTTAATGTGTAGTTCAACTTCATATTTGTTTATAGTTTTGATATGAGGGATCTCCCAAAAGCTCATGTATGAGAAAATTCATAAATAGAGGTGATATGAACAGATTATAAGAGTCATAATTCAATCAGTGGATTAATCCATTTGATGGCTTAATGGTTTGAAAAGACTACTGTACTTGGTGGTGACTATAGGCAGGTAGGATGTAGCTAGCAAACCTCTCTCTCTGCTTCCTTGCCACTAGGAATCAAGAAGTGCTCCTCCATTATGCCCTTCCGCCATGATCTTGGACCCAGTGCAATGGAGTTGGCTGATCATGGCCTAAACCTCTAAAACCATAAGCCAAACTAAACATTTCCTCCTCTAAGCTGTTCTTGTTAGATATTTTGGTCACAGTGATGCAAAGCTAATTAACATAGTATCTCCACTGGAAGCTTACAGAAAGGGTAGTCGTTATGTGCCCTATGTGTAGATAAGGCAAGGTGAGACAAAGTTAAGCAAGTTATTGGCTTGTGGTCAGCATGAAAAACAGCACAATTAGATCAAGAGCCTTCTCATCTTTAAAGTACCCCAGGATATTACCATGCCCATGGACAGCAGGCTGCATTGTTCAGTCTTCAGCCCAGCTGTCATCCTGGATTTGTCCCTTCTACATGCAATAATAGTAACAGAAAATAATAGACATATATTTATTACTATTTACACAAAATTATTAGGAGAAATTTATGTGAGGTGAATACTAATGTTTCAAACTACTTACAATAGCAAAAATATGAAATCAACCTAGATGTCCATTAGCAGATGAATGGATAAAGAAAATGTCACACACACACACACACACACACACCCAGAGTGGAATATTATTCAGTCATAAAAGAATGAAATCCTGGGGCTGGGGTTGTGGCTCAGTGGTAGAACGCTTGCCTGGCATGTGTGAGGCACTGGGTTCAATCCCCAGCACCACATAAACAAATTAAATAAACAAAATAAAGTTATTGGGTCTATCTACAACTAAAAAAAAAAGAATGAAATTCTGTCATTTGCAAGATCATGGCTGGAAGTGGAGGTCATTATATGAAGTAAAATAGGTCACATATACAAAGACAAATACCACGTGTTCTCACTTGTAGAGATTAATAAAGTCCATCTCACTGAAAAAGGAAATGGATAGTGATTGCTAGAGACGGGGAAGGTCGAGAGGCAAAGGAACATGAAAACAAAGTATATGAGATAGAAAATATTCAGAAAATGAATAAGTTCAGGTTCTTCCATAGCACAGTAGGGTAACAGTTGATTTAAACAATCTATGGTATATTTCAAAGTGACTAGAAGAGTATGAAATTTCCAGTCCACAAAAAAGATCAGTGTTCCAAGAGAAATATTTATTATGCTGTCGTCACACGTTATACACATACATTGAACTAACAATAATAAACCCTATAAAGATGTACAAACATTGTCTCAATAACATTTTTTAAAAATATATTGATGCATTTGATCCTCATGAGAACACAGTGTGGCAGGTAAGTGAATGTCATCCCCATCTTTCAGACAGGAAATTTAAGGCCAAGCAAAGTTTGATGTCCTGTGTCCCTCTCCCCAGTGCCTGCCGAGTCCCTGGCATCCCTGGCCACTGTGTCTGCTGCCCTTGTCCACCTGTCTCTCTGCTTCTACTCACATAATCACAGCACAAAGAAGGCAACCATCTTTTGAAAGATAAATCAGATCAAGTCACTTTTTGACTTAAAACCCTTGAAAGAATTCTCCAAAATCCGTCTCCTCCCTGTGGGCTCTGGGGTCTCAAATAAGCTGGTATTTGCTGTCCTCTCTGGCTTCATGGTCATCCTCCTCCTGTGCCTCTCCAGCCACACTGGCCACCTTCTCTGTAGCACATCCAGCTAGTTGCTGATATGAGAGCTCCACATTAACTATTCCTTCTATCCAGAAAATTCTACATCCAGACTGTTGCAGAACTAACTGACTCCTTCTCCCAGTGGCAGCTCCCAAAAGACACCTCCCACCCACTGTGGCCTCTGGGGTTGCTCTCTTGCCTCTGCTCACTGTATTGCCTCCACAGCACTTTCCATGGATTATAAATTCAGTGTGTGCACTTGATTTCAGTCTCCATCTCTAGAATGAAAACTTCAATAAGGGGAGACTTCCTATATTTTATTCCCAACTATCCACTACCACTGTGCCTGACCCGCAGTGGATACTCGATAAATGACTGATGAATAAAAGGCAAGATAAAATAAAAATAAAGAAAGGAAACAAAGCAGGCAGGCAACCGGCTCCTAAAAAAACAGTAAATCTGGGATTTTATTTTAAGAATAACTCTAATCCTATTTTGGAAATGAATTTTTGGAAAGACGTTCCCAAAAGCAAGTATGTATTTCCAAACCTCCTACAGAGTATTTTAAATTTAACAGGGAGCTCAATTCTGAAGGATCACATCTCCACCTTGGGTAGGTAGGTCTCACAGGCACAATGACCTCCATTAATTCTGATAGACAGCATAAGCATTTTTCAAGGGTAACAAAGTCCCCCTTCACGGACCACGTTTGCTAATGTGGCTGTGAGTCCTGGGAACTATCTCCATTTTGAATTATTCTTTACCTTGATTAAATAAATCTAGAAGGGAAAATTAGAAGGCAGCTAAAAGATGGCCAGTGGTTTAGACCCTTCCAGAGAGTCAGCAGAATGTGTCGTCTATCTGTTCCACACAGAGCTCCTGACGTGGAATAGAAGCCATTGCTCATTATTAACAAGGTATTGACCTACATGCAGTTCCACGACCTGACACGCAAAGCAGAGTATATAATTCTTTATTAATTATAGGACACTTTCTTGAGAAAAAGAGGCTGGCAAGGATAATTATTTCAGAATAGTATATGTGACAGCAGCACTGCTTATTAAAGATGAAAAGGGGGGGAGGCTACTAAAGCATTGATCATCAGAGGGCCAAGGTTAGAGGGGATAATATTTTTTCCTATAGTTAAGTCAATAAAATATAAAAACTTCAGAGGCTTGTGCCTGGAGGGGAAACTATAACTGATGGTGTAGATGCTCCGCCCCATTCCTCTGGATCCCGCTGATGTTTCTGGGCTCTTAGTCCACAACTTCTGCTTGCATTTTGCTCCTAACAGCTCTCACTTGAAACCCACCTCAGAGGACCCATGAGAAAAATGGAACCAATTTGCCTCTCCTCTCTGACAGCTGAAGTGGTCCCCAGTATGACCTGTAGCCCAGGTCATGACTCAGGACTGGGGCACAAGGGTGAAGACCCAGTGACTTCTTGCCTCTCAATGGGGCAGACTGTGCAGTGTAAGGAAATGTTCCAGAACACCTGTGAGCCGAGGCTGGGACCTCACCTCAGATTGCACCTGTGCCTGGTATTCAGTCCTTCATCACTTTGCTTTGAAATCTGGCTCATTTCCTGAACCACTTGAACACCAATCTTCACCTCAGCATTTGCTCTAGGGGACCAGATCTTAGATAGCAGCAATGAACAAAGTTTTCTTGTTTTTCTTGACCAGAGGGGCTTGTAGTCTCTTCAGGTGTCCAAGGCTTAAGCACCCCACCTACCTACTCACCCGAGTCCTGTCAGCCCCTGAAAGACTCGGAGCCTGAGCCACTCTTCCCTGTGCTGCCGTTTTCCAGGGCAAGCCCAAATCCTTGTCGAGAACAGTGTGTAACTGTCGTTTCTAATCACTGTCATGTTCCTGGATCCATTCTAGTTTATGTCACAAAGCACATGGTGGGCCCATCAGACCAATGGTCGATCAGCTGGGA